TGTAGGCTGGAGGAAGAGGGGGCTTACAGAAAAGGGCCCTAGGGAGGTGAAGGTGGGAAGCAAACTTGAGGTTAGAGTCACCTGCCTCTCCACCATGTGACTGTAGCTTATGCAGCATTCTTAAACGTTCTCAAACACGGGACTCCCATTCCTTCTCACTGCCATCATCAGCTTCGTCCTCTGAGTAAACGGAGCTTGGTTCTAGGTGGAAGCGACTGCTGGGGTTTGCATTTCACCCTGCCCTTTAAGCAGCCTGAGTTGCTGCAATTTTCTGCTTCTCCACTGTTCCGCCTCTCCTCCGGAACACATGCTGAAGGAAGTGCAATGCAACCTGACAAGGAGCCCTCCACACGTTAGTTCCTACAAGCAACTTGATTTTCCAGCCAGACGTCAGTGAGTGCCACTGCTCCAGCAGCATCTTATCAGGGCCAGCATCTGGGTCCCCAGCTGTGCGTCCACCCCCAAGAAAGCTTGTCAGTAAGACAGCCTGCTTTGTCACTAATACTATTGACACCGGCAAAGTCAGTCTGTGTATGCGGTTACAACTCTGTATGGGCTGTAGAAACCACAAGCCATGGCCTGCTCTCCCCAGGAGAAGGCCGGTCTACACCTGGGCCTCCCAGCCTCATTGTCCTGAGGTCTGTTCTTTTTAGCCAGAGTCCAAAGGAAGCAGCAGAGAAGGTGGCAGTTTGAGCAAAGGCAGTCATTCAGTGCTGTGATTTTCTAGCAAATTATGCAGATGACCATGGTCAGTTTTCATTTCACATTAGCAGGAATGATTTGGCATTCTAAGAAGTGGATTCATGCTAGCTCCCTTTCTGGGGCCCATTGTCCTGCCTGTCTCCAAGACGCAAAGCCCAGAGCAGCGTGGTGTGAGGGAGACTAGCAGCTATAACCGAGCCACATACCTTTCTAATGGAACAGAGCAGCTTTTAATTTTTTAAAAGAACATTCCAGATTAACTCATTTGTTCCAGACCTCTGTAAACAAACGCTTGGAGTCCATGTGTGTCCCCTGTGGAACAATCCTTCTAAGCAGCTTTGGCTGAAAGACATCCCGCGGTGGTGATTGCTTTAGGATTGCTTCTGTTGGAGTGAATTATACTTGTGGTAGGGCTTATACAGGGTTGATTTATTTTAAATTGTAGGATAAGTTCTAAAGTATAAGAAGTATGTACTCTATAAAAAGTGTCATGGGGCCTGGCTAGTAGCTGGAGTCCTAAGCAAGAATGGGGGCAGGGCAGGGGGAGCAGAGAGAGAGAGAGAGAGAGAGAGAGATGTCAGCTCTGGTACTGTCGACAGTTGATACCTCTGTTCGTTCCTCAGTTGGAAGGCTAGAAATGTTCCTGGTAACTGGCATGGCTGCCTCTCACCAGGAATGGTGAGAACTGCTCTTTGCATACTGGCCTTGACCAGTCCAAGTGGGTCTCTAGTCACGTGGTGACCATCACATTCCTGAGCACCTCCGATAGGTGTAGGTTAAAATTCAGGTACAGCTGCATGACTAACCTTTAACGGAGTTATGACAAAGCAGCACTGGATTTGACTTGTCTCTCCAGGATCCATCCCCCCAAGAGGCTGAGTTGCTGACTGCCACGAGTCATGGCCGAAGTTGAGTTGGGCTTCAGCAGGGTTGATTCAATAGACCAGTGGTTATCCAGACAGGGTGTCCTTGCTTCATGACTCAGACTACCACTGTATGCTCATTGAGTGAGTTCATCTCCTCAGAAACCCTACAAAATGTCACAATCCTTAGTTTACTAGTTAAAATACCAAGGCAGAGCAGTTAAACAGCCTTCTGAACCCAGCATGGCTGTCGTAGGGTCACATCCCCAGCCACTCTGCTCAGATGCCAGTGGTCTCCAGTGAGGTCCTCGCCGGCATTGTTTGGGGATGCTTCTATAAAGTGAAGCTGCTGGGCCCCTCTCTGTGTGGCTCTGAGTCAGCAGGCTGTGAGCCCAAGGAGCTGCGTTTTAAAAATCTCTTCAGCCAAGTTTGGGAGCTGCTGTTTGAGCTCACAAATTTCTGGTTGGTAACAGTCAGATAACTTGTTTTCAAAAAAAAAAAAATCAAACCCACCCTACCCAATGGCCTAGAAATTTCTTACCTGGATTTTACACTGTGAAATAAAGAGAAGAAAGTGTTGAAGCAGTTTTATGCATAACAGGCCCCAAACTGTAAACAGCCCAAGTGACCACCACACTGGGGTGTCTCCAAGTAGTGGAATCCCATGATGCACTGTGAAGGAACAAACTGAAGGCCAGCAGCCACGTGGCTGAACCGTGAAACGCACAAAGGAAGGGGCCTGGTGCAAAAGGTTGCTCACTGCGTGCGTCCATTGATAGGGCATCTGGGAAGAAGCCCAACTAATTAATATTTCTAAAAATCAACATCATGTCTGCTCCTGGCCATGACCGGGTGGCTGGAAGGCGAGAGAACCTTCAGGTGGTCCAGATGTCTACCATCTCAGCAGGGCTGCTTTCCAAAGGAAGGGCTTTGTCACAGCCCTTCAACAGGTACACCTAAGACATGTGCTCCTAAGATGTACATAACAACGAACCCATGGTGTTCACCTAAGACGTGAAATTCACTCCATGTACATTTGACATCGGAAGGAAAGGAGACGTGAATGTTGAGCTTTGTTTTAAGATGCATGACGAAATGCTCTGATGTATTGATAGGGGGCTGGAAGGATGAATAGATAAGTAATGAAACAAAGATAGTTTGTGCTTCAGGGGAGAAATTAATGTCCAGAAATCCCCAAACAGAGCTCAATCTGGGAAATCCTGTTCTTATATTAGTGATAGCAACAAACAAATCACAAAGTAACAGATTAAAGTGTCAGTGATAGAATGTATCATTTTTCCCAATGGATGAGTGAATTTAAAAATAAATTAATTAACACAAACCATGTGATATTGTGAATGGACTGGGACGACTGAAATGGCCTTTTTTCTGTGGAACTGCCCTGAGACACAGGATAGTCATTTCTGATTATTTGGTTGCTGGAGGTTAGGGGAACACTCACCAAGGACTGGCCCTGACAGTTTCTAGCCATCACTAAGGCACGAAGAGCCAAGTGGCGAGCAGAGTGACCGCTTTGCTGCCCTGATGACTCCTGCCTCCTCTTTAGCATCTAGACGTACATACAGGCAGGAGCTGGAAGTTGGGACCATACTTGTGGTGTTCTTTTCTGCCTGTTTGGTTCGATGTCCCAGGTAATGGCCTCATGAATGGCTGGCCCTGAGGAGGGACAGTTAGCATCAGTCTCTGTAGCAGAAGGGACGTCTCCAATCCAGCTTTTCCCCAAGTGAGAGGCCTCCTAGACAGTCCCTTGGGTCCTGGAGGTAATTTGGCCTTCACTGGGGTTTATTTCTGAGGCCTGATTACAACTGTTTAACAGAAAAAGCAAAGATAGCAGAAAGGGCAGGTCATCGGCACAGGCTCAAGTTCATGGACCATGACTCACAATTCCTTGAGTGCATTTGGGTTCCCCAAGTCCCCAGGCACTTTTGCTCTACCATCTCATAAATACCATCAGCAAATAACAAGATTAACTGTTGTTATTTGTGACAGGTCACTGTAAAGGGAAAATGACCAGGTTGCAGGTCGACTTTTTCTGTAAACCTCTCCCTTTGTCATCACATTGTGCACAGGGTTTGGTGATCACACTTGTACACATACCTGCAGCCAGGTGGGGTGGCCACAATGCCCATCAAACTGGTGCTCAGGTGACTTTTCTGAGATGATCCCAGTGAAGAGGCCAGGCCTGTGGTTGCCCTTCACTTTCCAGTGTCTTCTCAGACTGTAAGTGCTTGTAACGTGGTTCACTTACTCGTGGTACTTCTGCAGCTGCATAATCAGAGGCATCTGAGAACATCAGGTTCCAGAACCAGTCTTCAAGGAAGATCGTCACTTGTCAGAGGGTGAACTCAGACCTCGCAGGGGCTGAAGCTGTATGAAGTAGAAGCGATTTGGGCTGGGTGCCACTGTCACCCAGTGACAAGCACAGTGGAGTTCTAGTACATTTATTTCCAAAGTGACCGTACCTGGCCCTGTATATCCACATTTAGGATACTGAGATCTCCTTGGGTACCTGTTAACTAAGTGGGCCCTGCCTGCACCATGTGCCTCTATGACTGTCACATGACAAACGATGCATGTGTAAATCTTAAAATAAACCATTAAAGACACATAAAATTACACTCAAGGTAATCAAAGTGCTAACAAGGATGGTTGATTACACTTTAATTGTCAGATGATAGGCAATTTGTGTAAGATTTGAGTGGTCACACTCAGGGCGGATTTGACTAATCAGGATTCCTTACCCACACCGGATAGTGGTTTGCCAACCTCAAATCCTTGGAAATGAAGTGCCTCAAAGAAGAAAGCATGTAATTTTATCACTGACCCCATTCCATATGGCACATGGTATAACCAACCCTGTGCTAGCTTATAGCAACTGGGGTTTTTCTAAAGCTGGGTTTTGCATCCTACAGAGGAGCCCAATGGTAGCACGCTGGTCTTCAGCAATTTTTGGCCCAAGTTTAGGTAGCTTGGGCCAGTGCAGCTTGGAGCCCCCTGTGGGTTCCTATTGGACTGTAAACTTGGTTCTGATGCTCATCCCCTGCACCATGTGGACTCTCCAGAGCTCTTGCCCAGAACCTCTTGCAGGACGGGTGTTCTGAGCAGGCTACGTGACTCGGGATACTAGTAAACTCAGCTGAGGGCTCCTGGAAAGCAGATGAAAAAAGCAAGACAGCACAGAATGGTGCGTGGGGCTGTGCATCATGCAGTATTTATGTAATGAACAGACTATTAAAGATGCTCAAGCACTGCGATATGGTTCTGAAGATAGAAAGTGGTGCTGTAAGACAAATTTCCCACTGTTTCTCTGTTGTCTGGGCCCACAGACACAGATGTCCTCTGATCTTGCTGGTGGAGTTGGTGTTAATGGTGTTGGACTGGTGATATTGGTGTTGTTAAGCTGGCATTACTTACGGTGGGGGGGAGGAGTTGACACTGATGGCATCACAGTTGTTAATGCTGCGTGACTGATGTTGGTCATTGGTGGTGGTGTTCATGGTGGTGTTGACATTGCTGATGTGTTCATGGTATTGATGCTAGTGCCGCTGATGGTGGTGGTGGTGGTGATTGTGGCGGTGTTGATGTTAATTGTGGTAGTGTTGCTGTTGGTAGTATTGATAGTGGTGGTGATGTTGATGGTGGTATTGGTGTTTGTTATGTTGATGGTGGTGGTATTGATAGTGGTGGTCTCGGTGTTGCTGAGGCTGCTGCTAGAATGGTTGATGTTGGTAGAGCTCCTTGTGACTTGCTTTCCTGGTGATGACTCTTACAATTATGGCCGCCCTCTATGCGCCAGGCATCACTGGGGCTGGTGATGGTATGGCGCAAAATTCAGGTGAGATGCCTGCCCAGTAGGAGCTCAGTCTGGTGGGTGTTGGGGGTAAGACAGAATAACAGTATCAGAAAGCAAGAAGCACCGTGTACAAAATCAAACTATTAAATATTAGCAAACATGATAGAAAGTTGGGGGGAGGACTACGTTAACTTGCTTGCCAAAGTCAGGTAATACTAGAGTTAAGCCAAAACCTGGATGGTGAACTGCCCAGGCAAGGCAGCCACGGCAGGGTCCAAGGTGAGGCAGAGCACAGCATGTCCCAGTAGGCAGCCAAGGCCACTCTGGACAAGAAGTGCTGTCCAACAGAAGATAATGCCAGCAAGGAATTGTAAGTTTTCTAGTAGCCACATTAAAAAAGTAAAAAGAAACAGGTAAGCTTAATTATCATGATGCATTTTATGTAATCCATTATACCAAAATAGTTTCGTTTCAACAAGTAATAAATATGAAAATACTAATGAGATATTACACTTCCGTTTTATTTTTACACTCTGGGTCTGAAGTTGGTGGGTCCTCCCTCCCTCTTGCAGCACATCCCAAAGCAGACTTACCATGTGTCAAGGGCTCAGCTGCTACAGGGGCTCCCAGCTGTCACACTGGACAGTACAGAGCTTGAAAGTATAGGGAAATGGGAAGAAGGCAGGGAACTAGGGCTTGGGTTGGCCTGGGGCTGGTGATGAGGGGTTGTCCTGAGGCAGCATCAGGAACTTGCTCGATGGTAACAGGGAGCCATTGATGGTAGTCTGTGAGGTTCTTCTTCCTCTCTTGTTCTCATAGTTCATTTGGCAAACACTGGTTGAGCATTTCTTTTGCCAAGTCTGTTTCATATCACTTTGTAAACAAGGTGGCATTGAGAACTATAACCACATGCCAGGGAACCCATGCCCAGGCTGAAGTTTGTATACCTATGCAAACAGTTGTACGGCAAAGCATGTAAAAGAAATGCTACCTGAGGGTACGCCCCCCCCCAAGGGCAAGTCCCCAGAGAGATGGAGTTTGCCTTCCCGAAGAGGATGAAAGTTCAGAGAAATGCCAAAGTTCTTGGTCATGGGAAGCTCAGACAGCAGGTGAAGCAGTGAGGCTGTATGGGACAGACCAGACACAGGAGCTGGGGCCTGAGCGTGAGCCACTGTGGGGGGGCAGGGCAGGAGGTGTCAGACAGGGAAGATGGAAGCAGATGGAGTAGCTGGGTTGCCAGCCTGGGTGGTTAACCAGAGCCCATGGGAGTCAATGAAGTCTATAAATTCACCCTGAGACTCGATCATTCAAACCTATTTAATTTTAGCTCAGAAACATTCCTGGAAATTCACCAAAATGGATTTTTTTCATCTCTGACCTTTCTCCATGAGAAGCTGAATATAAGTTTCCCACACTGGCCAGGCAGCCCACACTCGTGGGTCTTCTGAGATCCCATGATCCACTCAGTGGGCTCTGCCCTGCTTAGTCCGAAGCTGTTTTTTTCCTCCAGGATAGAGCAGGAGGAACCTTTTGGTTCTATGAAGTTTTTGCTTCTTACAGAGCCATTCTCCCCTGTGGGTTGCTACCTCCATTGCTCCAGAAAAATAAGTTTTTTGGAAGCAGTGTAGAAATGATGTGCTGATGAGCTGGTGTGGGAACAGCCTCCCTGGGTGAATCCCTGTGGCCCCTCAGACTCTTCTCCCTGCTATGGCAGCAGCTGCCCCAGCAGAAGAAACAACACAAGGTCCTAAGCTCCTTCTCCACAGATGACAGGTCTGCAGAGATGTCTGTACCCCACAGAGGGCGCATCCCCACTCTGTCCACAGAGCTGAGTGAAAAACACTGCAATGGGGCTGGACTGGGCTTCCCTCCTGTATATCCTCTCCCTTTCCACCTCCCCTACCCCCGTCACACTCCCAGTGCCCCCTCCCTTACTCCCTGGGCAGGTATCTCCTTAGCCAGGTAGGTAGTGGGAGATGACCTGGGTGTCCTGACTCCACCTCTCCTGAGTGACCCCCTTCAGAGAGAGAGCATTCCTGGTTTGCATTCCTGGCCCAGCAGTCCCAGCCCAGTCCTGGGAGGACAGAGTAGCTAAACTAGAGAGGCAGGAGGGCACCCCAGGCCTGCCCCATGCTCTTCTCCCTGAAAAGACCTAAATAATCAGTGAAGTGAGAATCTCCAGGTTTGCGTTACGGTAACAATTCACCAGCTAAATTGCCCGGAGAAACAGAGGGGTGGAAAGAAAATGGCCATTTGATTACAGTTCATTACACATAACTGGATTCCAGGAGCCAGAGAGAGAAGTGTTCACCGGGAGCCAAGCCAGCACGGGGTCCTATCCGCGCCGGAGCACAGCCCCTCCTGAATTCTGGAGGTGATCTCCCAGTTCCTGACTACTTTAAAAATCACCACTTTTGTTCATCCAGAGTTGAGAGAAGTTTTGTATAAAATGTAGCTGCATCTTCCTTGATTTTTCTGAACTTGGTAACAAAACCTCCACCTCTGCTCTCACGTATTGTGTGCAAATCGCTAAAATCTATAAACCTTGAATAGATTTAGAAAATCATACACTGTGGTGAAAGGAACCCATAAATGAATCTTTGTAGATGAAGTTTTGTCATTTAACAAATGCATTGTTACCCATTATCCTTTCAATACTTAACAAACAACTCATAATGAGTACAGAAGGTTTCAATTGGGAGGCTTTCTTCCCCTTTCCTTTCTTTCAAAAACAGCTATTTCCTTGCAGGTAGTAATTTTGTTTTAAGAAGAGCGATGTTTAGCACCAGGCTTTTTAATAAAATATGTGTGAGGGAATAATTCTTCTGAAACATTCTGTATCTACAAAAATCTATATGTGGGAGAAGTTGAATCATTAGCTAATAGATTTTATTACATAGCAGTTAAGAATTTTTCTAAGAGACATCTAGTCAAATGCATCAATTTGGGGTAACAAAGCATGGAAGAAAGAAGAACGTATTGAAAACTGGCACAGTCCCTGTTTTACAGTTTCTTTGTCTGGTTCACTGGGGATCATTTTCCTCCAGGAGGTGGGGTGTCCTAGGCCGTGGATCCTTTGTGCGTGGTGCCATTTCTGCTGTGTTTTGTGACTGACCACAAATAGGCGAGCTGACAGCTGTCCACTGTGCCACGTTTCTTGGATACATTCTGCCTGCTGGTGCCCTGCTCCACCCATACTGGGGAAACTGACATTGGGAGAGGCCTGTCCACAGAGAGCCTCTGAGAATGCTAGGAGAAGTGGGCTGAGTTAGAGATGTGGGGCCTGGCACAGGGCAGGGACCCAGCACAGGGACATAGTCCCTGTTTTAGCAAAATGCCCACCAGTGTCATTCATTCATCTAGGAGCAAAGGCCAGAAGGGGGGCAGTTTATTCTCTGTTCGTGCCAAACTGATCCTTGAGTCATGTGTGTCTGGCAGGTTCTAGAATGAAAGCTATAAGCAGGAAACAGGACCCCAGACTCCAGCTCGTGCACTCCAGGAAGTGGTGTCAAAACATTGCACTCTTCAGTCATATCATTTACTAGACTTTCACCAGGAAGATCCAGCCTCATGCTGGGAGATCTCCAGGCTTCCTCCCCAGCCATGACACTCATTAGGGTTGTAGATGGTCCAGGATTGACCAGCTGGGAGGACCCAGGAGGAAGTCACAGTTGGGCAAAGGCTGAGATGGGCTTAGCCATTTAAGCAATTGAAAGATGGTCAGGGAGTTGGAGGTAGGAGACAGTGGCAGGTGCCAGAGGAAGAGGAGGTGGAGGCTCAGGTACCTCATGGTACAAGGGAAAACTACCTGAGGCTTTTCCTCCTGTATCATATCAGGAAAGTTGTCAAATTCACAGAAAAGATTGCCATCCTGCAATCCACCTTTGCTGTGTTGCTGTATCAGACACGCTGTACCCATCACACATCCCTTTTGCTGTTTAATGCATAGCAAAGAAAAAGTCCCCTAAACCCTGCTCCATGCATCTCCTTAGGTTCAACATTCATTCACATTCTTGAGGCAAAATTTAAAGAGAAAAAGGCACCAACTCTTTAAGTGTGCATTCCCAAGTTCTGACAAATGCATTCACCTGTGTAACCAAGACTTCTTCCAGGTGCCTCACTGTTCATCGTGCCCTCTCCCAGCCTCCAACTGTCCCCAAAGCCCGGAGACGTCATCAGTGTGAGTTGCTGTGGCCAGGCGCCTCTCAGCAGCGCTTTCTTTTTGGACTTGCCGTGGCTTGCTTTGATTGCTTTTTGCCAGAGCAAAAGCCTTTTGCCACAGCTGGCAGTGTGGACATGGGACAAAGCTAAGACCATGTTATAGAGATGGCTCTTACTTTCCCTGGTGAAAGCCTTCTGGCCATGTTGGTATCAGATGGCAGTGAGCCTCCCGTGGTCAACGTGGGCACCTCACACACTCTCCATCTTCTCCCTTCCCACCTGTCTCTGTGTGTGCCATGCGTGGCTCCATTTTCTCTTTCTCCTTCCCCAGGTCTCTCACTCACTTCCTGTCATATGTCCAGCATTGCTGGGTAGGGCCTTATCTTGGATGTGTTGTCTCCTCAATTAGTGATCCTCTTGTCCTGCTTTTGTAATTTAATTAATTTTTTTTCAGAATTTCATTTTATTTATCTGTTGGATTTTTAGCTACACCACTCTATTACATTTTATAGCTTCATCTAGGAACCATAATAAACACCACAG